AGATAGAACAGCAGCTATTCCACCTAATCGGTTAATTTTCACGGTAAACGTCTATAATAGTAAAAGGTAACTATACCACCTATAGTGTATAAATATTTTTTAAACCGTAGTGCAAAAATAGACATATAAACTTTTAACTATATAACTATATAACTTGCCTACGACATATAAAAAAAAATATACTCCTGATTTTCTACAGTGTATTATTTAGTCGTAACCCATTCGTTAACAGTATGAATAAAAAAAACTAACTGAATGCTGCCCATTTACAAGTGTTGTAAAAACTGACGGTGACACGCGTTTGTATAAAAAATTCTTTTTTTTTCAAAGAACCACGTAAACCTGCCATTTTCAGTTGTTATTAATAATATCTTATTGAGTGTATAAAATAATAAATAGGGAATGGTTTTACTACTCTTACACTAAATTTTTTTATATTTTTTACTTTGAAATTATTTACCATATTTACCTACTATAAAATTACATACGCAGATGTCGAGTAAAAAACAGTAATAATTATTGTCATGAAATAATTACAGTTTTAATTTAATATGTCTACTGTTCTAGAATCTAAAACATTGAAACAAAATTTAAATTCTCTAATAATACATAATATAATGACACAATAAATGATGGTAATTAATTCTGATTAAATAGTAGGTAAACATGAAGAATAAATATAACATTGATAAATTTATTAAAATTTAATAAACTACCATATTATGAAAATATTATAATATAAATTTATAAATAAGTTCAAATTATAAATCAAAAATTGATGAACACTTTTTTTTTATATAATTTATAGTGTATTCGAATTTAATAGCATTAAATAGTGATATTTTAGTATATTATTATCTTCTGTGTTGAAATGTATATTATAATTAATAATAATTGTTACTATAATATAAAAATTTAAAAAATAAAAGACGAATTCAATAATCAACGTACAAAAATTTTTTATACATAATGATCGCTACTATAAATAATAATATATAATAAAATAGTGTTGCCAATTTATAAAAAAAAGCGAAAAATATTTAGCATCGTAAATAAATTATTACGGTTTGGACATTTCCGTGAGTAAGTGATGAACAAGAAACATTATTTTCAGAGAGTGGAATACGAAGGGTGGTTCTTATAATACGTGCGTGGAATGTTACTTATAGCTGCACCTTAATTTTTGATAAGAAATCTAAGACCAGTAGCAAACTGCAGCAGTACTATAAACATGTTTGTGTAGAATCTTTCGTAAACCTTATCGTTAATATAAAATATAGTATAGTCATCTATATGGATATGTTCTCTAGCTGTTAAAAAAAAGTAAAAAAAAAAAAAAAAAACATGAAAATAAATAAAGAAAAGTGCCGTGCCACGTTCTTCTTTATACGCGTGCGACTGTTGTAAATCACATACAGACCTATACAATATTATATGTACAAGTGTAGTAGGTATTTTTGTTTTTACGAATCGTATAATTTTACGACTTTTTTCTCTTCCTCTCACTGCAGTGTAACGTGATTTGGAGGGTAGTTTGGGGTGCCTGGTGTATGTGCATATTGTATAATATATATATATATATATATATATTTATGTATAATCGGACCTCCAAACGAGAGTAGGTTTGTGACATGCAACGAAAAAACGACACGCAAGGCATAGTCCATAAAGTATATAGAACTATACTTCTCTAGCCATGGTAAATTATTATTACTATTATTATTATTATTATTATTATTACACACGATATGATATGGTTCTAAAGCTGCACAGTGTGTATATGTGTGTGGAGATGTATTTTTTTCGTCTTCTAACCATACTGTACGATTTACAATCCATTTATTTCACCATGTATAATCACCTCGAGCAAATTGTGTATATTTTATAGTCGAGTTATGAACTTACACCTGTGAAGTAAATTTTAACAGTTTGTGTACCTATATCCAGTACATATTGTATTTATGCTTGTATATGTTATTTGTTTCTTGCCAATAATTGTGCCGACACAAGTGTAATATAATTAACAACATTGAAATAGAAAATTCCTCGATGCACATATCATTATTTTTATTTTTATATATGGAGAATTGACACGTAAAAATAAGTATTATTAACTAGAAAAGTCAACATTGACTATAGAATCCCTAACGTCATTACATGATGTAGGTATAAATCAAACATAAAATTAGGGTTAAGTTCAATTTCACCACAAGTCTATGATTAAAGTTAAAAAAAAACAACAGAATAGTAAGTTGTATACTGTAAATTGCATGACCTAGTCGCGTCGCTTTCGGCAGTCTTTAGGAAGGATCGATTGGGTGACATTAAAATTATGGGTCCCAGATGTACTATATTTCATAGTAGAAAAGCTATTATATAAAGTACCTTCCACAACGAAGCCGTCAAAAAATTATTGTAAAGCTGTAAAGAACGCGTTTAGTAGCAGTTTAAATAAAAGAGAAAACTTTGTAAAAATTATCCGTTATATTTTACTTTAATTTTTAAGTAATATGCAAGACTAATATTGAGGATAATAATTATTCGATCAATTTTAATGATTTGAACGAAAGCTTTTATGTAAGAATAACGTTACTATAATACCGTTAAGTTTGTAAAATATTGGTACCATTAATTATTAGTGACAAACAATTGTTTAGTTTATAAATGTTTACAATATTCTTAAGAAAATAATACATCTGCACAAATCAATTTAACCACAAAATGATCCATATGATGTACATGCGTGATTTTTACATTAAAACTCGAAAAAAAATATAACTTCACTACTATAGTATAATTAATAATTTCTCGTTGAATTCAAAGGATTTAAAAAGTTTATGCCAAGACGGGGTAATTAAAAAACAATAGAAATCATAATAGGTTTCAACCCTGAAAAAAATGTTCAGCGAACTCCGAAGAAACGTGAAGTTTAATTTATTCGGTCTTATGATAAAGGACCAGTGGTGAAGTACAATAGCGAATAACTAGCGGTAGAAACGAATATTTGTTTTTCCCCTTGAAATTACCAACACAAAGAGGATCATTATACGTTCGAGACCTTACAAGATTTTGAAGTATTTTCACTTATAACCACGTAGATAGTCGAGTGACATTCCTCCGAACATTGCAGACAAAACACTTCATTGCAGTGCAGACTGCAAGATACCTACCTTGACGCATTTGATAACGTTCTTGATGCCCGAAACTTTTCAAAACCGCGTAATTATTCAGACAACACGATTTTCAGTTTGAACTGTAGTTTTGCTGCAATCAAAATTCTTCTCACACTACCTTACTACATGTTTAACAATAGTGGATAATAATAAAATAGTAAAGAAACTAAAACAAAAATCCTAATATTTATCAAGCCCAATAAGATAATTACTGGTTTATTGAAGTATTTTGAGTACATCAAATACGTCCTTAGTTTAAAATATTATTTTTATTTGTTGTTTTACTAATTATTTTGATTTTACAGAAACAATTACAATTAATAGAATATAATATTCAGAAAATAATTCAATACTGAAATTTTCCTTTTGCTGCCCGTCGACACTCGACAATAAAATCTTGTAACGGAACGGAATTTTGCGATGTAATATTATAAGCAGTGTTATGCAATTTTTCTTATATGTCATAATTTTGGTCAAAACAAAGACAATTGTTCTCCTGGTCACCGTTGCCGCTGGTGTAGTTACTTTCGCCGCCGGCACGAGCGCCCTGGACAACCTGTTCTCCCATAAAATAATGTACTAAATCATGTTGAAGTTGCAAAATAATAATTTTTACAATTTTTTATATTCATTATTTTTTTTAAGTTTTTACTTTTTTTAATGGCAACATACATTTTTAATTTCATATTCCTAAGCGTATTATATTTTTGAGTATTTAGTTAGACAAGAATTTCAAATGATTTGTTAATTATTTTTAAGAGACATTTAAAGAATATATTATAAAATGAGTAAAAAGTTTTACAGCTGTATCCTTTAAAATGTTATCTAATACTACGCTTGTCAATACTTTAAGTATTTATAAGTTATACCAATTTCATTACTTTTTTTGAAATTTGCATTTATTTATATGAAATTACCTAGTCAAAAAAAAAAAAAATTGCTTTGAAATATAAAATTAAAAGTAGGTATATGATGAATAATATAAAAAATATGAAAAATAAAATGATTAATAATTGAAAAAAAAAATGATTTTTTTCAAAATTGTTGATTTAAAACAATACCAAATTACGAAAAAATAAGAATTTCTAAAAACGTATAACTTTTTTAAATAATGAATGAAGGTATTAAAATGAACCATCTAGTGTTAGAAAATATTTATGGTATTTTTGATGTTTCTAATCTAAATCAAATATTAAATTCAAATGTATATATTAATGTTATATTATGTATTTGTAATGTTACTACTGTATGCGATTCACAGACGTCGTTAGAAAATTCAATCACATACAAATATGAATATTATATATTATATTTGTGTAAGATAAATACTAAAAAAATCGTATTTTAATATCATTATATGTTTGACATTATATATATATATATATATACATTTTTTTTTCTTTCGTGAAATATGAAAACAAACTTCGTGAACAATATGAAACTTAATAAAGAGTGAACGACATTTCAATCATTCGACATTTATAAATGATGGGCATTAGTATTAAATTTTCAAAAAAATCATCTGTGTTTCTTATTTGCTCACTGTCGTTTGCGCCACGAAGTTGCAAAAACTTTTTTGACGAACAATATTCTGGCAAACTCGTGTCTTTCGGGTCGAGTCGGGCCATTACCAAAATTCGCAAGTTATTTACAATGTTTACGGAATTAAAAGTTTTTTTTTTCTGGACTGTTATTCTTATACACGCCACGTAAAAGTTACATGCACTTCTCTTAGATATGACGTGATTTGATATACTATGTCTTGTAAATCTGTAAAAAAAAAAACTTTAAAAACGATTATTAACCATTTTTTTTTCATTTTAACAGGAGAATGCGATGAAGCACTGGGTATGGAATCCGGCGCCATTCCGGATTCAGCGATCACAGCTAGTTCGTCGTACAACGTGCCAAATGTCGGACCGAGCAACGGAAGGTAAAATTATCTCATGTTATTAAGTAATAATTACCAAAATAATAAGACTTTAATAGTTCTTATTTGCGTATATTCGAAACGGTATAACACACATTATTTATAACTAAAACGTCTAAAACCATTAATTTCACTGCTCAGTTATTTACAAAAAAAAAAAAAAGAAAAGAAAGAAAATGTGTACACACGTCACGATGGTAGATAACTTATTTGAAACCATTACTATGTACATAGTATAATACTTACATATAGATAGTCAATGTACACGTGGGTCTATAAACCTAACGATATATGTGTATAGATGGAAGTTATACTGTACAGTATTAGATTGATCACTCTGAGAGTACCTTCGGAACGAGTGATAATAGATACGTATATATTTATATTCCGAGAACGACATCACGGCGATCCCGCAAAATCGTGTCCTTTTGCGTAAATAGGATCTTGTTATTTTTTTTTTTTTTTTTTTTTTTTTTTATCGCATATATGTATTCGTTATCTCCACTGTTTGAAACCATCTCTCTTTCAGCACCTCCCATAAACTATTTCCCATAATTTCTCCATTTCCAACTATCGTTTCCTATTATTACACAAATGTATGTAATATTTGACTATTTTGTTCATTTTTCCACGTTCGATGGGTATTTATTTTTATTCTACTGTGTTCTTTTACATTGTTATTCAAGTTGACTACTTTCCACGTATTCTGTATACTCTGTTATAACTTATTTTTTTTTTACCATGTTTATTTTTCATAAAATTTTGTATTTCTTTAGAATAACAATATGCATTTATTGTATATAATAATGTTTACTATGACAAATAAACTGACATACTTAATCAAGTACACAATATACGAATTTAATAGAATACTGTCTTATTTTTGAAATATTAAAATGTATTATAGTGAAGTGTCCAAGCGTATATTATCATTATATTTTATAATATCGGCTATTGAATAATAGATTATGCATTTTGGTTAGCCTCAGAAGTTTAAAAAAAAAAAAAAACTACAAACATAAAGAGCGCTTAACGTAATCCGAAAATATTTTCCATCGCATAATTCATTTAACTTTAAGCATAATCGTGGTTTGCAATAACGTGTTTGATTTATGTATACGAAATAAAATTCGTAAAAGTTAAGACAACTATATTAGTTTATCAAGTTGAAAATAAAATATGACTTGAATACTACAGTGCTTATCGTAAAAAATTACTTGCTATCATATAAAATAAGAATGGCCAAGTTGACGCACAGCTTTTATAAATACTATAGCGTCGGTGTTAATTTATTATTGTTGCGTAGTTGGTTGTGTACAACAAAGTCAAACAATATGTTATTTTTTTACTTTTGAAAATTTAGTTTAGAGTATTGCTGAAAATATATCCGTTCAATATTATTAAAATGTATCATGAAGAATTTTGTTTATTTTTTTTTACTGTAAGACACATCTACGAATTGTAATAAGATTAACATTTCTTAATTATTTCAACATATGATAGTAAGAAGCGTATAAAAGTTTTATGAAACAATACCTATAAATGCATTATACATATACTATATCATTAAAGTACGCGTTATTAGAATATAATAAATTTAAAAGAACCTAACATACGAACGAAAATCAAATCAAAAAGTGTAACGGTAAATAATAATATAAGTCTGAAATTGTTAAATTCTACTGATATCATACGTACCCTTAAAAGTTATGAGCTCAATAAGATATTGATATGTGTACATATTATTTCCAATTTATCTTTCAATACTTAAAATAAGTATACAATAATTATATTATGATTTATTTTAACACATATCAGCATATTTTAGAGCATATAATATAATTTTATCTGGGATTTTTTTGATAAATACAAAATATATTTTTCCACACATTTTGAGGCCATGACAGTAAACATAGCATGTATATCTTAAAGTAGTAATAAATATTTTTATTATCTTATATAGGTAGTTTAATTATAAACTAAACGTCGATATATCTAATTACGTTTTTGCGTATTATTTTAACATTCACTTTGATGCAAAGAACGATAGATAGAACACATATTTTTAAAATATACTTTATTATTTTTACAGACTATAAAACTCCAATTCCTATAAACTACCAATACAGTATAGATAATAGATGTTATATAATATATGCATTACTATACGTGGTATACGTATCCAATGCCCATCGACGCAATAGCCACTCTGGAAAACCATAGTGACTCGACTACTTCACGCCACTCATCGGTAACCATGGAAATATATATAATCTGTAATATCTATGAGTGTATATGCGTTTTGTCTAATTGATCCTAAAACCTTGCAAGCCAAACTGCATCATCAAATGCAGTTTACACAGTCATGTATACATAATGCATACAATATAATGCTTATATTTGGTTATTACTTATTACAATTTGGCGCTTTTCAAATTAACTGCTCTGAACGACTGCTTAGCTTTTAGCGCCGGCCCAGATTAATGAAATGACGGCTGCACATTTAATTCCGTCAGGCAATCAATTCTCAGTCACCGCATCACAGTACTGTAGACAAGGATATTATATTATAAGTGGAGCTTATCCTATAATAATAGTTAAATCTTGTGTGTGTCACATAATTGTTTCATATCAAATGTATGAATATGCTACACATATGATCATGTATTACGAATCACTAACGTTTATTGGCATACGATCGTCATCCTGATCAAACAAATAAAATTGTACAGGAGTTGAAATTTAAATAACCATCGATAAACTAATGGCCGGCTGGCTGAAAGAACGATTTAATTTTCATATTTTAGTTTCGTTAATTTTAAATCGATTGTATTTAATACGTGTATTATAGTATACGTATGATTACAATTTATTGTGTTCACTATACCTACTGATATTAATTTACTACCACCATATTTAAAAATAAGTGAGGACAGGTGGGTATCCTAATAGTATTTTGATTGGAAATCGTTCGTTTGCGATATTCGTTATTATCACATTCAACTATAACATTATATATGTTAAATTTTCACTAAAAATAAATATCTAATTGACTATCACATAGTACTTAATAATAACTAAAAGTGCCTTATTCAGTTTATTGTTTTTTTTTCGATCACATATTTTTTTACTTCATATTGATATAAAATATAATACAAGGTAAAATTATGAGGTAAGGTCGATTATACAAATATTTCTTTTATTTCTTTTTAAATGTATACCCTCGGCAACATGGGCCATTAAACTTACAAAGTAAGAAAAAAAAAAGAAAAAAATTAAATATATTGTGTATTAAATCTAAGTGTTAATTAAATTTTGATTTGAAGATTGGCGGCTGTGATGAATTGGACGATGTTGGCTATGGATTGGGGTTGATTGCTTACCTCGCTTATTACAGTATTATTTTGGTTAAAAAATATGTTTAAAAATCGAACGCTTCACTTGTGCAGCCTATCCCTTGACAGTGAAAAAGTAATTGATCCCCCCTTACTACATTTAGGTATACACGATGTATGCACCGTATAAACGTCCGTCGAGTTCTTCTAACTATACAGTTAGTCACCGGAGTGAAATGGAATTTGGAGGTGGCGTGCATATGTACTTCCACGATCTATGTGTAATGTATATCTAATTATATTTATAAGGTTCTTAGTTACATGCATGCCATAAATTGCGTTTTAAGCATTATTATACGCAGCCCATCACTGTAATGCAGCGGACCATGAAACACACCGAAACACGTATATATTAATTAACCACGTTTTAATACCTGCAGTGGCAGCAGTAAAAGCCACCTTACATTATTATAATACACCACCTACAGCAGCTGTGAGCTAGACGATCGGCAAAGCCAATTTGTTATAATGAGTCGTGTACGCATAATAATGTATTGGTTTAAGATGTAATTTTTGGATGAAGGGAAAAAACGAAAGCGAGCGTTTCGCTCTCATAAAAATGTGTGTATATTATAAGGGGTGATTTCCTAAGTATATTCACCCCCATTTTTCCTCTAATGACGAATTTATTTAAATTTTGATTTACAATATAAGCTTAATACTATATTTTTAAATTCTTCGGATTTTTTTGTATTCATAATAAGCAGTGTCTTACAGAGATAAAACTTCTATTTTTCAAATGAGAATCCTTCTATTTTTATTTTTTCAGAATTTTATGTCAATAAAAAACAACATTTTAATTTATAAGCTATTAAGTTATATTTTTATTATTATTATCATCTGATGAGTGGGATATGATGCTATATCATAATTTTTATCTATATAACATAATTTTAATTATTTAAATTTTTAGTGGAATATTCCGCTTTAAAATAATAAATTAAAAATAAATGTTTTAATTTAAAAAATTATCACGATAAAAAAATATAACAATTTTTCCAATAATGTCGTTTCGTATGAGAATACCCGCGCTAACTTGAGCCAATGAATTACAATTACGTTAAACAAATACTATCAAAAAAAGTTAATACTTTTCGAAATAATGAGAGTTTACTGTTAATCACCCTGCAGTATATTATGTGTATGTGCGTGCAGTCTCATATAATTTAGTGTTTATAATAAATATATATATATGAATATAGGTATGCACAGAAGAGATTTAAAAAAAACACAATGTGCTTATTTATATAATTCCGCGGGGAAAAACACACCACATGACTTTTATTGCTACCGGTACCGACCCGGATTTGATTAAATTAAACGACCTTCCTGGCATTATTTCATAATTAGCAGGGACTTGGCCGCGGCAACAATACAATCTTCTGACTTGCCCGGCTTAAGCACGCCTCTGTCTGTACGCTGTTTTTAAGGTCGGGGTTATTCTACGCGTTGTGGATGATTTCCAAAAAAAAAAAAATAAAACCATTACAAACAAACAATAATTAACCTAGAAAAAACAAGGACATATTATTATTATTATGTGAATTTAAAATCAGATCAAATTTACTTAAAATTTGACTGACATATAATTGTATTTATTAGGGTTAG